CGGTGGGCCACCCTTCCCGCCGCCTCTCCCGCCGGCGCCGCCTCTCACCGGCGAACTTGAAGTGTCCGGCCGCCTTGTAGAAGTCCACAAACGATTTTAGGTTTTTTTTTTAGTTTTTGGTTAGATTTTTGAAGTGAAAGAAATTTTAGGGTGTTAGATTTTTTGAATTATTTTGTGTGATTTTTTATTCTTTCATTAAGAAATCGGCTATCTACACTTAGAATGAACTCCCTCGTATATATAATGCACAACAAGAGGTTAAAAGATAGGAGGTTGAGGAATAAGGGGTTGAAGGATGATGAGGACCCGTTGGTGTGTGATGATGTGTCATCTGATAATGAGTGATTCATAGATGATGAGACAGATTTGCCATTATCAGACTTACAACTAGAAGATCTAAATGTGGATGTCTTGAGGGGCGAAGCAGATCAAATGGGCACATCTTCTAGTACCACACCACACACATCCACTAGCTCTGCAGCACAACAATCAAGTAAAGGTATTCCACAACTTCTTATATGCTATCGCAGTATATTTATATCAAGTGAGCAATTAACATGCTAATGATCTTTTCTCTTATTGAACAGGGAAGAGAAAAGTGAGTCATATTAAAGATGATGATGACATGACATTCATAGATACAATTGGAGAAGAAGATTCCCTTGAAGACCCATTTAGTGATGGGATATGATTGCATTTTATGTTTTTTGTACATTGGGAGTTTTGTTAAACTAATATTTTGTGATTTTGTACTTTGGGACATGATTTTATTGCATCTACTTTCTTACTTTCCACTATTTTCATATATCATTTAGATGTTTTTATTGTAAGATACAATATTGCCATTATTTTCCTGCTAAAACTCTTAATTTTTCATTTAAGCAATTCTGTGTCCGTGAGGCTTACGCCTCAGATATAATTGATCCTTTATTTGAGAGGAGGATCTTTCTCTCCTAACTTTCTAGACACCGCTAGAGCCCAAGAACACCAAGAAAAATTGAACTTCAGCAATAATTTAGATAACCCTAACTCTAATTCCAACCTCCTACATAAAGCATACAAAAATAACTCCCAAAAAGACTAAAAAACCCTCCTAATTCAAATTTTCCCTCCTAATCCCTCCAAGGTTTAAAATTGCATAAATAAGCCTCGAGGCGGTTTTCGTCTGTGAGGCGAGGCGCAAGCCTCGAGGGCATCTGAGGCGTAAGCCTCACCGACGAAGAATTGCGTAAATGAGAATTTAAGGGTTTTAGCAAGTAAAAAATAGTAAGATTTTATCATACAATAAAAACATCTAAATGACAATTAAAATTAGGGGAAAGTAAGAAAATAAATGCAATAAAATCATATCCCAAAGTACAAAACCACAAAATATTAGTCTATCAAAACTCCCAAAGTACAATTAAGAAAGAACATATATAATCCAATCATGTCCCATCACTAAATGGGTATTCAAGGGAATCTTCTCACCCCTTCCTCCTCTCCTATAGAGTCCAATGTTTTTCCAATCAAAGCATGCACTCATGAACAAGTAGACTAACACTAACAACTATTACTAAAGATGATGAATAGAACAATATGCCGGACTGCCAGGGGTCCAAGGGGGCATTGCCCCCTAGCGGGGTTTGACCTACCCGGTCAGGTCGCGGGGTCAAGGGGCAGCGCCCCTGCGGTGGTTTCCGGGGGCAGCGCCCCCGGAACAAAATTTTATTGTAAGAGTAATTTTGAAGTTCGTAAGTTGTTTTTATGGGAAGATACCGAGTGGTACCGAGCATGCTCCTTAGCAGTACCGAGCATGTACCTAGCGGTACTGAGCAGTACCGAGCATGTACCTAGCAGTACCGAGCAAATACCTAGCAGTACCGAGCAAATACCTAGCTGTACCGAGCATATACTGAGCTGTACCGAGCATATACTGAGCGGTACCGAGCATGTACCTAGTAGTACCGAGCAAATACCTAGCTATACCGAGCATATACTGAGCGGTACCGAGCATATACTGAGTGGTACTAAGCATATATTTGAGGCGTACGCCTCAGCCAGAATTGTGCAATTGCGCCTCTGAGGCTCGACTCAGTTCAAGTGAGGCGTACGCCTCTGCCAGGAGAGGAATTGCGTAAGCCTCGAGGCGGTTTTGGGTCAAATTGCGAAAAGGCGCGCCTCTTATTGCGCAATTTTAAACAGAGACTCATACCACTATGTTTTCTCTCCCACTATACCAACTCAAGCAGTAAATTTTCATGACATTACCCAGTCATTTATTTCAATGTAAATCCAAATGTTTCTTGCAAAATCGTCGTAGAGGTATAGTTCATATATGTTACACTAGGAAATTTAAGTAAATATTTCATCTTTAAAAAATTCTTAAATCTATATTCTATGTTGCACCGATACACCTATTTATGGTGTTCTGTATCCGATAAACTGATACATGGATACGCCTCCGATACTCCACGATACATGTCGGATACGCCAAAGACGTATCCAATTAAAATACTATTTAATTTCAAAAGGACACACGTATCCGATACCTGTGTCCGTTGAAAAACAAAAAAGAAATCCGAAAAAAAGATGCATCATATTTACTTCCACGGTTGCGAGCAAAGTTCTCTCATTTCCGAGATGGATTTGAGTCTCTTGAGAATATTAGAAATTACTAATCTTTCACATGATGAGACTGAATTAATTATTATCGTGTCGTATCCGTGTCGCCGTATCTGTATCGGTGCAACATAGTCTATATTCTTCCAAACTCAATTTAATATAATCGGTTTCTTAATGATTATAAATGCACATCTTGCTACTCTTCTTAAGAACTGAAATTTTAGAACCTTTATTTGGATAGAAATTCAGCTTCCACAAAATCACAAAATATTCGTGTATTCCATGCATCAGAAAAGCATATGCCACAAACAGGTTTTTGCCTCACATTTTTAGCTATATTTAATTATTTATCAAGACTAAAATTAAACATAGATGTGATAATAAATGATGCCCCTCTATGTGATATTCATTTAATAGTACAAATATGAACATAGGTTAAGAATTAATACAATTACCATCTGAAGTTTTAGAATGAAAATTTCAAGTGAGCCTAGAAGTAGACCATAAAAATCTTAAAAATCATGTCATAAATATTTGAAAAAAAAATCCACTTTTATCGGCTAGTCTAAAAGGTGAGACACTGGGTAAAGCTCTTCACATCGCATAGGAAATAAAGGCAATAATATGTAAGAAATACATCTGATCAATTTCATAAAATAAAATTAAAAAACAAAATCTTACTTATATAACAAAAATCGAACAAGGTCCAAGAATTCAGAAAGCTCGAAGAGACATGTTCCAGCACATCTAAATTGTTGCATACACATATAAGAATGAAGTATACAATTATATTGATAGATAGTGATAAATAGAGGGAATGTTTCACAACATTAACAAGCTCAATACTGCATATGTTTGATTTGCAATTATTAGTCATAAACTCGAATCTCAATTTCAATAGGTGCAAAATAAAGCTTATGTAAAGAGGGTATAAATATAAGGAAACAACAGCAAACTTCGAAAAAGTTGGCAAATATAATATAAAAGAGACATAATGCATGTAGAATACAAACCTCCAACCAAGCATAAGATCTTGTTAGTTCATAAGTTGCAAAACCACCATCCTTATTCTACATTGACCAATAAAAAACATGCTAAGATTCTGAAGACACATGTTGTTAAGAATATTGAAGATGAAAAACATACATATCATATAACAAAAGTCCCAATTGAAGGAATGATATCAGTTCTTCACAATAGCTTTATTAAATTCATTTTGATGGTAAGCAAAGCTGACAATGTACACAATTTTTTTTAATATCAAAAGGTAAAAAACTATAAAATAAAATAAAATAACAGTAACCAATTAGTACAAGAGGGGTACAATGATAATAATATCTGAAAATAATAAACAATTTTTTCCTCAAGAAAATTGACAAGATCATGCTATATTTCTTATTCAATTAGTTCTAACATTGCATGTTATGTAAATCTTTTACTTGCCTACTTTCATTCATGCAGGATTATAATGATTCAATTTAATCAACAAGGTATTCCTAAAAAGAATTATTTCTTGCACACGAGGGCAAGCCTAAAGCCAATGGTTATGTTGCCTCTAGTATATTATGGAGATATCATATTCGAGTTATAAAACCAGACCCTTTGCAAATGTCAACCCCTGCCAAACTCAGCATTAGCAAGAACTCCATACACTAGATTACACTCGTCTTAGTTATTTCTTGCACATAACTAATTACATCAACAAGCTTTGCTTCATCTACTAACCAAATTTTTTGACATATTTATTAAATGGACCGCAATGAATATGACTTCAAAAAAAAACAACTTTCTAAAAATGTAAGGACGAGGTTGCAGATATCCAACGAGACCAAGCATTAATGACAGCTCCATGCACTGGATAACACCATTTTCAATAATTCTTGCACATAATATACGGCAGTCTAAAGCTAATTATTTTAACAAACTTAACTTTATGAACTGAGTTTTTTTTTTTGAACATCCATAATATGATAGGATTATTTATTTATTTTTTTTATTTTTTTTATTTTTTTATGATATGATAGGATTTATTATATTGGACCCAGATGAATATGATTTTTCTTAGGAAAATGCAGCAGATGGGTCAAAAAAGGTTTCCCCATACAGGCATATGAGAAAATTATGAAGGTAACAAAAATTTATTCTCTTATCAAAGATGGCTATATACACAAAAGATTTCAGGTATACTTCAAGACATTTAACTCAGAAGAGCTCAACAAGGTGCTTTTTGTTTGGGAAAAAGTAATTTCATAGCATAAAAGTTATCCAAATAGCAAATTTAAGGGAAGAAATGTTAGCCGCTTACAATCATGCTTTAAGACTTGGAAAGTACAGCACGAGTCTCATGTTTCTAACTTCCAGCATAATGCTTTCCTTTATAAAGCAAAGTCAACCATAGGTATTTGAAGAAGATAAGAAACTGTATATTACCTACAGATCAGAGGAGCTCATGAATTTTAATAGGATTTCACACATCAATTTTTTTTTCCTTTTTTTTAAATTTTTGGGAGAAGATGCTTGAAGCATCAATCAACAAAGCTTCTAAAGCAAACTTTGATTTGTTTCAGTTGCTCTGCAATGCCAAACAAACATTCATATTTCACCGCTTATATGAAACCTTTTATGCAACATTATTCTTTTAAGTTAAAAGGCAACTTGAAGCAGATGCAAATGGAGTAAAGATGAAAGATGCAATTTTATTTACTAAACTTCAAATAATAAAAGTTCTGCAGTACACCTTTGAATGACTTAAAGATTATCAAAATTTTGGAAATGTCATATCTACCCAAGTAATTTGTGAGCTGTTTAGTGATTGCATGAAGTCTACATTTTCACTGGTACGTTACTCTCAATAACATTGTGCACTTACCATAAGGGAAAGAATGACACTCACGGCATCATAGAAACTATTTGCTTCCATTGATTCCCCAACAACTTCTGGAGAAATTTGCGACAACAACAATGCTGCCTGTACAGAGAAAAGTTCAGCGTTGATAAATGACCTATGTGAAGTGCTGCAGATAGATATATAAAGAGCATGCCTTCAATCCTTCAGCAGTACAATCTGAAATGGGCCAACCATGATCTCCAGTAGAGAATGGCCATGCACCTTTAGAAATGTGTCGATACCAAAAGCTAAGATCACCGTGGCTATTTTCAAGAACCTAGAGCAGAATAGCCAAACTTGAACTATCACTAAAGTGTCTATATATATATATATATATATATCAGATGAACTTTAAGAGTCAAAAATATCAAACCTGTGATTTCTTAATATAATCATTAGCCTTTTTTAGAGTAGGGCCATATTCTTCATAAAGTTTAGTTGACATAATTGCTTGTACCGTAAATGCTGTATCCCATAATTGGCTGCCATTGTAGCCCTGCCATTCATTGCCATAACATAAATGATAAGTTAGATAGTGGTCCAATAATGGGGGTATGGAATATAAACGAAATAAATTTCAAAGCATTTATTGGTTAAAAAAAGAAAAGATGAACAAAATCAAGTTTTAGCACAGTTTTGATGTTGAGCTTCATCGGATCTAGACCTGCATTTTCATTCCATCTTCAGCGAGCCACAAATAGTCATACAGTCTAGGAAGGTGCAACTTAAATGCTTCAGAGTTTGAATCCTCAACCCAGCAGCAAAGCATATTTATCACCTGTATCAAAACTCTTAAGTTTTTTATCTGAGCTAAAATATATCAAATACAGTGCCAAAAAAATGATACATAATAGAGAAACTATTAGCAGCAACTCCTCAATTTAATTTTAATATGTAGATAAGTTAATGCCTCAATGAAATAATAATCCTTGTTGCTAAAAGAGAATTTTATGTTGTCTTAGCTCAAGAAATCTCAACTCTCATCAAGTAAAAAAGAGTAAAGTCCTCAAATTGAAAAAACTAGTGACAATAAACTATGGTGCCAGTAGCAACATCCACTAGTTGTGAAATTTGTATAATGATGGTCCACCTCCATATAGTTACAGAGGCTTCAATGCAAGTCACCACATAGACAATCACAAATAGTGAACACTGCCGAATGCAGCTTGGTCGACAAGGGTGACAACATCTCTATTATTTCTTATGAATAGATAATAACCAGTTATGCTAATCAGTTTGACCATATAAGAATATTGATGTAGGAATCCTACAGAAGATGAACTCAAGCAAACAGCAAGAGATAGAACAGTAACTTGAACTGCTACTAACTATGAAAATAGAGTATCCAAAAAAAAAACACTCTATTCTGCTACAGTTTTCAGCTAAAATAAATCTTCAGAAAACAGAGAATTGCTAAAAAGGTTAAAACAGTAAAAAACGTAACCATTTGCTAGCGTACTAATAATAGCATCAGTAGTGGGATATTATTCTAACTAACAAATAAGAAACATTTGAAGATAAGCTATTCTGCCAGGTAGCTTTAACTATTATGCTCCGCATCATTCACCCCTTCCACAAAAAGAGTTATTGTCTCTTGATTCAATAGTAATGCAACTGTCATCTGATGGTAAATTTCTGCTAGAACATAATCCACCTAGCATGCATTCAATTAATACTTTTCTGCGTGTTGATGTATTGTAAGGCTTCGTGGTCGCTGCAAAGAACGAAATCCTGCTGTAACAAATAGTGCTCTCACTGCTTTAAAGCTCTAACAATGACATATGGTTCCTGCTCATAAACTGACCAATGCTGCCTCACAGAGCATAACCTCTCACTGAAAAATTCAATTGGCATGTTTTTCTAAGATAACACAGCATCGATGCCAACAGTTGAAGCATCGATGCCAACAGTTGAAGCATCAATCTCCACTGAAAAATGGTTTATCAAAGTCGAGCAGTGCTAGATCAGGCGTTGTAGTCAAAGCAGTTTTTATATCCTCAAAGCTCCTTTGCCGTTAGGTCGGCCATAAGAACTTCAACTTTAAGACATCATCATCGGTGCCATTATAATGTTGAATTCTTTAATAAACCGTCTATAAAAATTAGCCAAACCATGGAAACTTTGGATATCAATAAAGAATTTGAGGATTGGCCATTCTCTAATAGCTATAATTTTAGATGGGTCAACACTTACACCTTCGGCATAAATTCTAAACCCTAAAAACAACACCAACTGAGTTGCAAATTCATATTTAGAGATATTTAAGTAAAGTTTGCTCTTTCTAAAAGTTTCAAAGATGTCTTTTAAATGATCTAAATGACACCTAAAAGTGGTACTATAAAATAATATATCGTCAAAATAGGTCACACAACAAAGGTTTAAGAATGGTTTCAAAACTTTCATCAAGCGCATGAAGGTAGTGAGGGCATTGCACAACCCAAAGGGCATTACTTTCCACTCAAAGAGGCCCTCAAATGTCTTAAAAGCAATTTTCCATTCGTCCCCTGGTTGAATTCTAATATCATGGCAGCCATTGCGAAGGTCTAATTTAGAAAATATTTTTGAATCGGATAGCCTCTCTAACATCTCCTCCATTCTGGACATAGAAAATCTGAACTTAACTATGATCTTATTAATTGCTCGGCTATCCATACACATCCTCCACCTACCATCCTTCATAGGCATCAACAAGGCGGGCACAGTGCAAGGACTTAGGCCATGATGTATCAATTGTTTGTCTAACAACTCATCAACTATCTGCAGCAGGATCCTATTTTCGTTTGGACTAAAGCTTATAATGCAGAATATTGGGCAGCTTATCAACATGTGTAAGTTCAATATGGTGTTGAATGGTACGAAGTGGTGGTAATTTCATTGGTAGGTTCTTAGGGCATACATCTGCAAACTGATTTAACAAAGATCCACCTCCACTGGGATGTTGGAATTACAAGCACTAGCAGCCGTTTCCTTCACTATTAATGCTAGTATACTGGAGGACTCTTTCCATGTGTTCAGTAAAGCTGAGGGGGATAGAGTACACAGTGCGGTTTTGTCCTTTGAAGTGTTTGCTTCTTGTATCGAACTGCTTGGTAGTAAACATAGGTGACGGCCTTTCCAATCAAATGCAAAGGTGTTGGCTCGACAATCATATATAGCCCCGACGTCATACTGCCACAGCCTCCCTAAAATAATGTGACATACATCAATTTCTAAAACATCACATAAAACTTCACTAGCATATTGCTTACCAATAGAAAATGTCATCGTGCACATTTCAGTCGCAGACATCTCCATTCCTTTAACCCAACTAATCTGGCATGGGTTAGGATTTTTTGTTGTCTTAAGATGCAAAGCTTGGCTTGGACCATCGCATGGGATGTCACATTCTCAGTGCATTCGCTGTTAATTAATAAATCGCAAATGTTCCGCCAATAGTACATTTTGTCATGAACAAAGCATTCCGTTGAGAAGTACAAGGATGTTTAGGTGCTAACAAATTTCTCCATGATACAAATAAGCAGTTCACCCACATCCCCTGCCACGTCCTCATGTGAATTCTCTGGATCTGCTTCAAGCTCTGCCAATGCCTCTTCTGTGTCAGCCTCCACCAACTACGGTTGTGGCCTTGACGGTTAGACTTATGTTCCTGCTAAAAGCATCTAAAGCACTTAATGTTTGTGGGTTTGGCATATGGATTTTCTTTGATTGGTGCTCTGCTTTCTTCCTGGCTCTTGGGTCCATTGTTCTATTAATTGAAATGTTAGATCTGGTGGCTCCGGGTGTCACAAATTGTTGTTTATTGATTTGAGGCGTAGTAGAATTTGAAGACTTGTAGCCCTCAATTGGTATTTCTAATGTAAGTCTGGATTGGTTGCCTCAATTGTGCTTAAGTAACTGCATCTCCACCTGTAATGCATAGTTAGCAGCTTGTGACAAAGACCACACAGCATTTAACTCCAGTTTGTCCTGGATCACCTCCATTAACCCGTTAATGTATCTGGCTACCAATTGATTTGATGATTCGTTTAAGTTATTTCGACCACCTAAATGATAAAACTCTTCGGTGTATTCGCTGACGGATCTATTTCCTTGGATGCAGTGTTGATATACAAATACAACATTTGCTCATAGTCGATTGGTAGGTAGCGACCTCACAACATCTATTTCATTTTGTGCCAACTATGCAATTTTCCATGCCCCTCTCGTTGCCAGGTTTGGAGCAATTGATGCCACCATGCATTGCTCCTCCTTTGAGACTACAGGCAACGTACTTAACTTTCTTTTCTGAATCAATTTCCATATACTCAAAGAAATTTTCAACGGATCTCTCCCCAATCCAGAAAATCCTCGATGTGTAATTTATCATCAAAATAGGGTATGTCCAAGTTAACCCGAAACTCACTGTGAGGTCGGTTTGTTTCTCTCGGATACCTTGTACTTTGATTGGTAACATCCTCCTCTGAGTCTGAGACTTCAAAATTCCTTAAATGATTTATTTCCTCCTCTAAATCAGACATTTCGATAACCTGGGAACCCTGTTGACGCTATCTATCGGTCTCAACCCCCCCCCCCCCCCCCCGTCTCGCTGCAGGTAAGGTTGCCGGAAGTACTATCCGAACAGGTTGAATTCTTTCTAGACATATTTAACCATAGAAACAATGAAATTCAGATGATAAATCCTCCGTCTGCAGCGCCAAGCTAGTGTGCTCCGCCCAGAAAGCTTCATGGGTGTTGTCATCCTCGGGAGCCACTTGTCTGCTGCTTTCAGTGATCTAGCTCTAACACCAATACTGATGTAGGAATTATGCGGAAGATGAACTCAAAAAAACAACAAGCGATAGAACAATAACTTGAATTGTTACTAACTATGAAAATAGAGTATCCAAAAAAACCACTCTATTCTGCTACAGTTTTCAGCTAAAATAAATCTCCATAAAACATAGTGGTAAAAAGGTTAAAACAGTAAAAAACGTAACCATGTTATGGCGTACTAGTAAAAGCATCAGTGGCGGGATATGATTCAAACTAACAAATAAGAAGCATGCGAAGATAAACTATTCCGCCAGGTAGCTTTAACTTTAACTTTTATGCTCCGCATCAGATATTTTGATGAATGATAAGCATTCAGTAATTAGAGAGTAACTAGGAACAATAATGACAAGGAATGTTGTATTGAATTGGCAGATCAAAGTGGAATCAACGTATTGTAAAAAAATACAAAAAAATAAAAGAGCTGAATTTGAAAGGAATAGTTCGTGCAACATAAATCAATACCATGAGCTTGTTGGTGAAAAACTAACAAGTGACAAGAAAAAATAAAGCTTGAATGCTATCAAATAGCATCTCGTTACAATAACAAACCACTGAAATAATACAAATTGTTGTTGTGGATGGTTCCATAACATACAATTTCTACAAATAGAAAACGTCAAATACAATATTTCTATATCTAACAAAGTTGTAGAAGAGAGTGAAGAGCTTTATTTGTCAACCCTGCCTATACAGCTTCAAAAATATAAGAACAGTAAATCATTAAATTCCACAAACATCCCAACAATGATGTCAAAAGATTCATATTTTGCTTTCATCGTTTAAATAAAAAATTTCCATGCAAGGCTAAGATTAAAATAAAGTAGAATGCAGATTTTGGAGATTCTTACAACTTGCAGACTATTAAAGGAACACAAGCTCAACTTCTAGATAAATAGTAAAAACAGTAAAATTGTGGTTTCTTTCATGCTTACCTTATTTACAGGACCTATGCAAATGTATCGAGTATTTTCATCTTCATAATGAATATGTTGCATGACAGTACTAAGGGCCTTCTTCCTCAACATGTTACCAGGCCAATTCATAAAAATAGGTTCACCAATCTTATGAAGAGAGGCCCAGAGAAGGTCTTGAAAGAGTGGATGGGGATAGTACAAATCTTCCTGCACCGAAACAAAGTTCTTTTATTACTGCAGAACTATGTAAAATGTCAATAATTTGATGTAATTGTCTGAATTTTTGTACATAACTAGATGAGGAGACAGCTGACAATTTTAAAAATACAAAGAAAAACAAATATTAAAAGATAACTAAGATGTATAGATAAACTAGGCACTGTTTTTATGTACGGAAATAATTATGGAGATATACAGAATACAAATAAAAATAAACATCAACAAAAGCTTTCTAAGAGCAAAAACAAATGGTTATAAATGGGCTTCTCCTTAATAATGGTTTACAAGTCAAAGTTTGGGGAGACTGGATCAAAAAATTATGCTTCAAAAGATAGAGATCAAAAGCACTGATTATATAACAGCATAATATGGCATTGTTGAAGCATGCAATTTGCTTCTGATGTGTCAAGTAATCGCACATGCTACAGATGCAATTTACATCAATGTTAGCGCTGAAATATCATTTTCTTTTGAATTTTTTCAATGAATACTTTATTTATCATTTCCCTCAAAATTTATTATAGCAGCTACTCTCAGGTGCTATTACACTTTAATATTAGCATTGCATAGGCTTCGACTAGTTCAAATATTTCTGCTAAGTTTCATTGAGTTTTGTACTTTTGTGTTCAATTACTACTTTTATAACTAGTAGGTACTAGCCCTTGTGAGATTGGAAAACCCTCTTTAAATTTTCACAAACGCATTTTCCCTTATTTCTTTTGCTATGTTGATTAAAATTTGTGTTCCATGCTGTCAGGCCATTTACTTGTTTCCATTTTCTATAGTTGTTAAATCCTTCATTTCTATTCAATGTACCCTGTGATTTTCTTTAATTCATACTTCATTTTTATTTGTCCTTATTTTGCACAATTTGTCATTAATATAACTTTAAATTTGTTTAAATTAACATGAGGTAGCAAATAGATTGTGTCGTTATTTGACCCTTGCATTATCATTAGAATTGTAGAAATATAGATAAAATAGGTTTCAAATCAATTCCCGCTTCGTACTTAGGCAACCTGGAATTTGCTTTGCAAGTTACACTTTAAAAAAATGGGTATATGGTTCAGGAGGGATTGAATAAGTTAATGAGAATAATTTAAAAAAATAAATAATTCTAAATGTATATTTCTCATGATTGTTAACCATTTAGGTTAGCAAAATACTTTAATACTCATTTTGTATAATATTTATCCAAAGAATTAAACAAAGTGAAGATTTGTACAACACAAATCAAGCTTGAAATATGGTAACACAAATTGTCATATCGCTTTTACCTTTCTAGTTAGAACTTCCTTAGAACAACCAGATAATTTATAAAACTATGTTAAAATGATAAGAAAGAGAGAGAATGCAATAATAGAATCTGACAAGAATTGGTTGAGTATTTTGTTTCATCATTTGTGTTGAATTTATAAACATTGTCGTTGGCAGGTCCCAAATCCTAGATGAGAAAAATTGAGGGTTGTATTAAGTAGTTGACAGCCAACATAAAACTTGAAATAAAGATTCTCTTATAGACAAAAATTAATGGAATTAATAGATATTATGATTTATAGGAAGATTAATATTCTATACATTGAGGAAACTAATGGGTTGGAGAGAAGGCTAAGAAGATTGATAGTTTATGATTTAAACTATGGTATTCTGGTATGAGTTGTATTAGAAGTGGAGTAGGTGTGATTATAGATAAAAATTTGAAGGATAATGTTGTAAAAATTAATAGAATTGGATATAGAATTATAGTTTTAAATATGATTGTTGATGTTATGATTATTAATATTATAAGTGTTTATGCTCTTTAAGTAGGTTTGGATACGTGTTCAAAATTAAAATTTAAGAATGATTTAGAAGAATTATACAAAAGATACCTCTTAAAGAAAGAGTTTTTATTGGAGAATATTTAAATGGACATGCTAGTAAAGAGGTAGATGAATTTAAAAAGTACTTATGGTGGCTATAGATTTGGTGCAACTAATGAATGTGGTAAGATCATATTAGATTTTTTTTATAATTTATGATTTGTAATTGCTAATACCTTATTTAAAAAAAGAGATGAGCATCTCATCACTTATAAGAATGGATATAGTAAAACTCAAATTATTTATTTTTTATAAGAAAAATTATACTTAATAGTTTTAAACTTTAAGATGATGAGCAGAATATTAAAAATAAAATAAAATATTATTTAAGGATTAGATTGAGGCATTTAAAGAATATTAATAAAAAAATTTTTAAGAGTAAGATTTTAAATCTTAAGATTTTATCTATACATGAGGAATATAATGTTATATGAGAAAAAGTAATTGGTGACATTAAGAATACTGTAAAAGATGTGCTTAGAGTATCAAAAAGAAAAGCTCCTTATAGTAATAAATAGTTGGTGGTGAAATCAAAATATACAAGAAAGATTAAAAATAAAAAAAATTGTTATAAAAATTGATTTAGATGCAGAAACTCTGATAATTTGGAAAGATATAAAGAAGTCCATAAGGAGTTTAATAAAGCAATATGCGATGCAAAGATTTTAGCTTTTAATAATTTATATAATAGTGTTGATACTAAGGAGGGCGAAAGATATATGTATAAGTTAGCCAAATAAAGATATAGGAGTAGTAAAGATTTAGTTCAAATGAAGTGCATTAAGGATGAAGATCATAAAGGGTTTTTATTAAAAGAGGATATGCAACAAAGGTGGATGAGTTGATTTGTTAAACTTTTCAATGAAGATTATGAGCATACATTTGACTTAAAGTGACCTTAACATCCTAAATAAAAATAAAGATTTTTTTTATCGGCATATTAATAAAATTGAAGTGAGAGAGGCTACAAAGAAAATAAGTGTGGAAAAGCTGTTGGACCTGATGATATTCCAATAAAGATGTTGATTCTTATTTAAGAATAAAAGTGATTGTGCAAATTACGAAAACTAAATAGATGTCAGATGAGTAGAGAATGAGTGTGTTGATTCTTATTTTTAAGAATAAAAGTGATACACAAGATTGTGCAAATTATATTAAGTTAATGTGTCATACTTTAAAACTATTTGAGAGAGTTATGGAGCATAGGTTACGACGTGATACTAATATTTTTCAAAATTAATTTAGATTCATGCCAGGTATGTCTACTATGGAAGTTATACATTTATTGAGAAGTTTGATGGAGAAGTATAAAAAGAATAAGGAGAATCTTCATATGATATTTATTGATTTATAGAAAGCATCGATAAAGTTCTAAGAGTTCTAGAAAATGAAAGGGTTAATAATGCTTATATTCAAGTTATTAAGGATATGTATGTAGAAGTTATTATTTGTATTCAAACACAAGGTGGTTTGACCAAATATTTTCCTATTTTTATTGGATTACGTCAAGGATCAACCTCAAGCCCCATATTTTTTTTCTTTAGTCAGATTTTCTCACGAGACATTTGCAAGACGTTGTACCCTGGTGTATACTTTTTGCTGGTGATATTCTTTTTTTTTATAAGACTAGAAAGAGTTGAAGGTAAACTTGAATTATGGAGGTCAACCATAGAGTCTAAAAGTTTCAATTGAGTAGATCTAAAATTGAATATATGGAGTGTAATTTTAGTAGTCATAGATCTAATATAGGGATTGTAACTTTGGGTGATCAAGTCATTAAAAAGAGTACATGTTTTAAATATTTTATGTCTATAGTTCAAAGTGATGGAGAAATACATGGGGATATTATTGTAAAACTCAAGTTGGATGGTTGAAGTGGAAGAAGGCATTGAGCTTGTTGTGTGATAAAAAAATTCCCCCTCAAACTTAAGAGAAAATTCTATAAGGTAATGGTGAGACCTGCAATGCTTTATGGTGCAGAATGTTGGCCATTAAAAGTGAAGCATAATATTAAGTTAAGTGTTGCAAAGATGAGGAAGCCCAGGTGGATGAGGGGCTTTACTCTTAGAAATAGGATATGGCATGAGCATATATATGAAAAGGTTGGAGTATCCCCGGTAGAAGATAAGAATAGAGAGAGTCGCCTTAGATGGTTTGGCCACATAACACGGCGGCCTTCCGATGACCCAGTTAGGAAAGTAGATGTATTAGATTTGGCTTATGTTAAAAAGAGTATAGGTAAACCTAAAAAGACTTCGTTGGAAAATATTAGAAATGATCTTTCTTTATTATATTTAAATGAGAATTTAACTCTTAATAAGACACAATGGAGATAAAGAATTCATGTAGCCAACCCAGGAAGTGAGATAAACGCTTGATATTATTGTTGTTGTATTTGTGTTGAATTTATACTAGTTTAGGAGAACCAATAATAGGATATGTACAAAATTTAAGATTTAAAGAATTAGCTACATATTTAATTATAAATAGGAACATGCAAGAACTTATCTTTTGAGCAAAAGATTTCTATAACTTGGACACCACAGAGTATGATTCATCCCAAGCATTGAATGTGAGATCGCCTTGCTAAGTCCAGTACCAAGTAAATTGCTCAACTTTGTTCTTCCCATCAAGAAGGTGCAAAATAAATGTGCTCACTTATGTTAATTCTTTCCATTCAAATGACATATTAAATGGATATTTTGCAACTCTCCAAATGAATATGGGTTTGCTAACATAAATTCCATATAACCTAAACCCAAGCAAACATGGATATTATTGTTTTCTACGGAAATGAAAATTGTGGTAGTAGTTAGTTGCAAGAAAAATAAGAATAAAACAAAATTGTGGCGATAAAAGCTATGGTTATAAGAAAATTAGAGGGGAAAAAAAAAGAACAGCAATAATAAAAGCTATAAGCTTATGGAAATGCAGCGATGAAGAAAAAAAAACCTTAAGTTGTAATACCACGGCAAGATTTTGAGATAATTGGTTAAGTATTTCAATTCATCTTTGGGAGAGAATTATGGAGCATAGGTTATTATGAAATACTTATGTTTCTCAAAATCAATTTGGATTCATGCCGGGTAGGTCTACTATGGAAGCTATACATTTATTGAGAGGTAT